AATAGTCTGTAACTCCCTTTAGCAGGGGTTGTTGTTTGTATTTATAACTTTGTATTTATAATTTTATACTGTCGGTTTAAATGTCATTGTTTTAATTGAGTTTGATTTAATAACTTTTTAAGGGGGGAGGAGGGAATTATATTGTTTTAGATTGTATGTATTTTATTATTATTGTTCACCTGCCCGGATTGGTTTGCCATAGGGCGGTATACAAATAAAAATTATTATTAAAAAAAATTATTATCGTATATCTGTGCTTTTTGTTTTTCCGCCCTATGATGATGACTTGCCAAGTTGTCTACAGTTTCCACTCTCCCTCCTGTTCTACAGGGACTAAAAAACCTGGCAATACCAAGTGGCACCAACTTGCATCAGGCTAGGAGCTCCTTGCAGTAGTCTGGAAGAGGGCTAAAGTGCCAAGCTGTCCAAGAAACAAAAGCACTTATTTTAATAAAGTACAGTATTGAAATCCTTCCTGCAGTAGCTAAAGAATAATCAGTATGTAGAGAGATCTTGTAGCACCTATTTAGACTAACTGAAAGAAAGAAGTTGGCAGCCTGAGCTTTCATAGACTTAAGTCTACTTCCTCAGACACATTACTTTTCATTATGACTGTAACATATCATGGGAGAACTTTAATCTTTGTGTGGTAACTGTAACAGCTTTAATTACTCTTATATTTATGGGTTGCGTAGCCTCAAGTGTGTTTGTTTTCTAGGTCAGCAGCTTTAAAAAAGAATTTAAAATTTAACTATGTGGTTACTTGCAATGATGAGCGAGGCAATAGTTACATTTTAAAATCACTGTACCACCAATATAACGATAATGAACTAATTTTGGGAGACATTAAATTGTAACATTAACTATTTTTAAAAGCTCTGGGCAGCATGGACAGCTTGTAATAACCATGGAGAAATGGTTATTGTTGTTGTGTCTCTCCTAGTCGTTTTTGACTTACGGCAACCCTAAGATGAACCTATTGTAGGGTTTTCTAGGCCAGTTTCTTCAGAGGAGGATTAATTACCATAGTCATCCTCTAAGGCTGAGAGAGTGTGACTTGCCCAAGGTCACCCAGTGGGTTTCCATGGCCGAGCAAGGAATCCAACTCTGATCTCCAGAGTTGTAACCTAACACTCAAACCACTACACTACATTTGCTGTAGGAGAAATAGTATTGGCATGAAAGTAATCAAATCATCCCTTATATGATCACACCAATTCTGACATAACCAGAAGAAACCACATCAGATCAGCAATTATATCTCAAGGAATGTAAGAAATATTAATCTAGGGCATGATTCCTGGTAGACTTCAGTCATCAGGCTTCTCTGTGTAGTATTTTCTTTCAATGAATGAATGAATGAAATCTGTATCAGTCAATAGGACTCACTTCTAAGTAAGCAGGTAAGTGGCATAGCAGTCTTAGTAGCCCCTGTTTACCCACTGATCCCTGGTAGATTTGTAAGCAATTTGAGATGTTTGTGCAAATATAGTCCTTAATTTGAAATGCAGCTATTAATTTCATCC